ATTTGTTCAGTTTATGTTGCCTCCTCCAAGGAGACTTCCTTAAAATCTACCTAGGCACCCTCTGTTAATGCTTCTGGAGCACCCTATACATCCTTCTACGATAGAACGTACTGTGTTATATTGTAATGATAAGTTTGCAGTCTTTAGGACATATTAAGTATTCAATAACATTTATTTGTTGAATGAATTCTCTTGTTAGTTAGTCTTCACATCATCTCTTCCCACTCAAACAGCACCTAAGATGTCTGTGTGCCACCTAGTTCCCTAAGAGAATTTTAGAAAATATTTCTGGGTAATGATATTAAAGCAAGTCTTCATGTAGTACATATCTACAGGAATCCTAGGATGGTTTTTGTCAATTATGCATGTGCCTTGACTAAATGAAACTCTAGATAAATAGAAAGTTCTCAATAACAGAAATTAATAACACAAAATGATAAGAAAAAACAGCTTAGAAATGAAAAAAAGAAATTAATATTAATTAGAGCTCAGTTCAAAAATATAAAAAAAGTTTGTTTTTTTTTTTTAGAGCTCAGTTCAAAGTCAAGGTGACTTAGTATTTATTTTTTTCTTCCAATAAATGTAAAACATATTGTGAACAGCAAGTAAATTCCAATGATCAGGGCCAGGGATGTAGCTCAGTGGTACAGTGTTTGCTTAGCATGCATGAGGCCTTGGGTTTGATTCCCATTACCACAAAAACTTCCAATGATCTGCTTAAAATGTTTTACTTAAATTCTGCATATTTTTTGGAGTTTCTCTGAGTATGAGTATGTTTTGTGTATGTTTCAGTTTTTGGAAAGTAGGATCTGAAATAATGCATAAGCCTGAGTAATTAAGTACGAAAATGATATTGTCATAGTTTTAAAGCATAGTCACAAACTTTTGATACTCCTCCTTCCAGAGGGCAGAGGTTAATTTTCTTCTTGAGTGTGGACTGGTCTTAGAAATTTGTTTCTACTCTATAGCATATGGTGGAAGTGATGGTGTGTAACTTCTGAGACCTCTGGGGGAAGCCAACTGCTATACCATGAGCCACATGACAAGGTTGAGATCAGTAGCCAGTAGGCCTCTTTGAGGCCTCGTTCCAGCAGTCCTGTGCGTGAGCCCCTCTGGAAGTCAATGCACTAGTCCTAGCCAAATCTTCAGAAGTCTACAATAGGCCTGGATGACATCTTGACTGTAACTTCATGAAACACTGAATCAAACCCAACTAGTTAAACTGCTTCTATATTTCTAGATCATAGTAGCTATCACATTTTTTTTTTTTAAGCTATCAGGTTTTTAAGGTGCCAAGTTTTGAGAGATTATTACTCAAGAAAAAATATCTAATGCAAGTGTTAATTTTTTTTTTTAAAAATTGTTTTCAGCCAAAAGGAGGATAAATTATTCTGAGCAGTCTAAACCTGCTAAGTCTATTAGAAATGAAATAGGAATTTAATGTAAATGCAGTTATGGTGGAGAACTTCAGTACACCTGTCTGATGGATGGAAACATCTAGTAGACAGTAAGATAATCTAATACTTGAAAATCAGTAAAGGCACTGAATAATTGAATAAAATAATCATTAAACATAATTTAATATTCATTTATAGAATTACATGTTTCAGATAAGGAATAAATATTCTTGGTATGTCCATGGAACACTTTCAAGTATCAATCACATACTTGGCCACAAAGAAAACCTTGACCTCAATATGGAAAAAATTTATAGGCTATAACCTAATAAAGCTGTTATTATTTTATAATCTTTTTGAGTCAAGTCTACATTTTTTTATACTTTTTGAAATGTATTTTAGTACAGGATTTAAAAAAAA